GCAGGCCAGGGCGCGTCTCCTAAATGTCCGGGGTGGGATAAGGTGGCCCAGAGGCACTAATTTCCTCAATTAAACATAGGGCAGCATATCACATCTGAAAATGTTTATTTTTCGGTCAGGGCGGTGTGTGTATTTGCCCCTTGGTGCCCTCAGAGTGTGAATCAAGCTCCCCGGAGCTCGGGAAGCACTTCAGGTTTCAGCAGAAGGAGCTTGGAGCCTCTGCCGTGCACGGTGAAATTCGTAGGAAGCCTGACGAAGCCTTGAATTAACATTTTCCAGCTTGAATTTTAATTGCTCATTGCATAAATGCCTTGCCGTAGGCTCATGTGGGGCGTTATGCGTGCCACCTGCCGGAGGGAGTATTTGATACCGACCTTCCATGGTCAATACTCTTAATAATGCTATTTACAGTATTTAAGCCAACTCGCAGCTTCGTATCTTGTAACCACTGAGGTGGAAAAGGTACTTGCTCGTAGCTTCAGGAGCGCACGCCGCTCTAGGAAGCGTGCAGTCTTCGGTTTGAGCCATCGCATTGTGGTGACGAGAAGCCCTCAGAGCCTCGTGCCCAAGGATGGGCACCTCCCGAGGCAACGTGATGCCTTCTGGTCATAGACGGTCATCTCGGGTGCTTGCCTAAATCCATAACTGCACTGATGAGCACTTTTAATTCGAGCATCCCAATGGAAAGGAGGATAGGGCTACCTAAATTAAGGAAAACGTGAGCCGTGTATTGTGCTGAGCTGTAGTTCTTATGATTGAAATAGAATCTAGATCACCTGCTCTGCTAGTGGTGGATGTACCTGGGAGACAGAGTGAGGAACTGCAACTGATTTAGTTTATTTGGGAACATTAATAGCTGAATTTTGATTTTTCTTATGCTTTTCTATGTGCAGTTGCAAGCATAGCTTACACAGTGCTCCTGTGTGGTTGAGGAGAGGTCCTTGTCTTGATTAAACATGACACAATCCTGATGACAGCTTGATCTCTAAGGTAGCTGTTTGTGGCAGTACTGGAGGTTAAGGTGAAGAGGACCTGGAAGCAGAACAGGAACTACCAAAATACGTGAGGAAGGGTTGACTTTTTTGCCCTGTTCATGCCGAACCTCAGTGACTCTTGAGGTAATGACATCAACCTTTGGTTTTGACAAGCCACCAGAGTGGCCATCAGCCTGTTCGCCAGCACTGTACAGAAGTAGGAGCACCAGGAGGACACCCAGGGAATCTGCAGTTGTGTGGTTTTTTGCACTGAAGTGGTGCTGGGTCTGTCCCCCTGCTCTGCTGGAGCACCCGAGGCGGCTGGACACTGGTAGGACCAGCGGAAGTAGAAAGTCTGTTAGAAGGGAGGAGGAGTGATCGTGAGGGCCGTGGTAGCCTTCAGATACCCGTGGGTCTGACCTTGTGGTCAAGCGTCTGTGGAAGCTGCTGCAATTCCACGCAGAAGATTCTGGGTTACAAAATGGTTGCCCTCCAAATGGCTTTTAAGCGTGCAAGTGAATTGAATTGCCTCTTACGGAAAAAGCACCGTTACATTTCCTGCAGGACCTTACCTTGCACACAGCCCTTGCCATTTAAGGTGCGTGTCGTTTAGAAGGGTTTCAGTTGCTGTCGCAGGGGTGGGCTTACTTTGTCTCTCAACTTTTTTTGGGGGGGACTTTGTGGGTTCACATGAGGAGTTTACAGCTGAAATCTGTGGAGGGACACATCCTGGCTGTACGACCAGTGAGAGAAGTCAGACATTGGCGTCTGTCTCAGTCTTCCTAGTCAAGTAACCAGAAGCCAGTTGTCTAAAATACGGGGCTTTTTCTTTCTCCCCCCAAAGGAAATGCCTTGCAAGGAGTGACTGGAGTAAGTGGGCGCAGACTGTGGAGAAGGCTGGATGCTTTTCCATGGCAGAAAAATGCCCTGACAAATCCTTATCTCCTCTTCATCTTCTAAAATTGCTGCTCTGTTTGTTTTTCCACACCTTTGACCCCTTGCAGGATATATCCTGGCTGCTAACAGCCTGTCAGCATGGAAAGAATACTGCGAGACCGGGTTTGTACCAACTGTTACTTCAATTAAGATTTTACGGAGCTGCAGACCAGAGAGGAGCCTTTTGAACTGGGAAGCTGTAACTCTCGTCTCCTCGCTTTCGTTATTTTGTACTTGCCATGGGAAAATACCCAGGACTTTACTTCTAACAGGCTGCTTTGTTTGGTGATTGGCAGCAGCTGTGTGCTTTTTTGGAAGACTCTGCAATCAGCATTATTTTGTTTTCCAGAAGGGGAAAAAAAAATGTAGAAGCAGAATGTAAACCAAAGCGGAGAGCTTGTGAGCACGAAGGAATGTGTAGGGCCTGATCTTCTCCTGGCAGAGGTGGTGTATGCGTGCCCTGCCGTTAACTGAGGGAGCGGCGCGGTGCTGTGTCATTTGTAGAGAATGTTGAGTAAGATGAAATCTGACTTTTTGTGAGTTAACAGACTTGGGAATGCTTTGAATGTAAAGTTGGGGAATCTGCCAAAATCCCAGAGATTCGTTTTTGGGAGAAGAAGCAGCCTGTGAGTCGTATTTAAGAGTTCTGATTTAAAAAAAAATAAAATACTTGGTTGCACAGCCTTAGGGAAAGTACAACGTACGTACAAGGGATTTAACAAAATCCCTTCAACGGCCAAATTGGTTCTCCGAAGGCGAATGTGCACATCTTCTGGGGACTAGAGGCATGTTTTTAAGAGATCGTAATAGTAGTAAAACCCCCAGAAATATTTGAAAAGCGCTTCATATTTAGAGTGTTTGCATAAAATTAGCTGCTGGTGTTTATAAATGGTACGTACGCTGCCGTACCCAGGAGCCATCCATTAATTAAAACTCTCGAACTATAGTTCTAAAAAAACCAAAACAATGAAAACCCCAACCCTTTTTCTTAAACCCCACGCTTTCCTCTTTCTAAAATGATTTGGAGGATGGTTGTAATGTAATTTAACCACTAGAAACTGATGGTTGAGATGATTGAGGGACCTGTGCTCAGGGACCGAGACAATGCTCGCGCCGTGATTGCTTCCTGAGGCGTGGGGCAGGAGCTGTGAGATCAGGCGAGGGATGGTGGCCTCTTCAGTCCCGTTACGCCCTGGGTTTGGAGTCGCGCTGCAGAAAACACCGTGTCAAAAGCAGTCAGCAGCGGTGGATGTAGGGGCACAGCTGTACCTTATTTTTTTTTTTTTTGGTATCAAGATGTAATTCAGTGTGATGTGTCCAGCCACCGATTGAAATGCGTTTATCATTTGTTCGAGCGTAATTAACTGGTGTGGTTGCTTTTATGTGCTGCGCGATACAATGTTGAATCCATCTGAATGTACTTTAACGTTATTCTGAAGAAAAATTTATGTGCCTGGAAAGATCTGCCTTTTCTTGATTAACACTGGCGTCCATTAACGTCAGCGGGTTTTTTTTCAGTATGCAGGATTTAGGGGGTTAGGACTTCATGTGTCGAGTGGCAGTGGGGCAGCATCTCTCCACTGGTAGGAGGTCTGTGAGAAAGGATGACGTGCCCCCCGATGCGCGACGTGGCCAGGAACGATCTCCCTCAGGCCCACACCACTGAGCTTTCCACTTGTCTTGGCGGCTCTCAAGGGGACAGGGTGAGTTTTCTCCTGCTGTTCTAGCAGCCCGGTACCACTCAACCCCTATCACGGTTTTTGTGTTTGGCTTCAGCTAGCTGATTTGCGTGGACGAGCTCTTGGATGCTGTGAAGGACAGCCCGCTCCTCTAGCAAGTGCTGGATCCGGGTACGTGGGACTAGTTGCCTACCCAGCAGTCCAGCCCGAAATTTCTCTCATCTCTGTGCTGGCCCCGGCAGCTTGGCAGAGTTGCCTCGGGAGCCATCTCCTGTCTTGCCTCCCCAAACACCCAACTTGCTCCGCTTCTGTTTGCACAGCGGGGCTGGGAGCAGAGCCTCCTCGTGCTTTGCAGGGATGGGGTTTTATTGTGAAGGATGATATGCTTCCTGACAGCAGTTTTAGCGTGCAGCGTGTTGAGGATAGCGGCGAATGCGAGTCAGTCAAATGTTATTTTAGTCTGTTTTGACAGGTCTGGCTTGGCAGTGGTGGTGGTGGATGGGGCTTTCCTCGACGCGAGAGGCACACGTGTGACTCACGCCTCGGAGCCGGCGCTGCTTGCTGCGTTGTGAAGTGGCAAGCGTGAGATTGCTGGTGGCTTGGCTTTTTGCAGGATTCAGCCTTCTGAGGCTTTGGTGACTGGTGGTGGTAAGGAGTAACTACGCTGTATTTAGTTGCTGTGCAGGGGACGAAGATTTTTCTCCATTGGCAAGTAGCGTTCTGGGTCATCTCTGAAGTACCCTTGTTTGGTCACGTAATGTTTACGCTGAATGTAAACCCTGAGGACCAGAGGTGTTTTATTCAAAGGAAGGTAAAAAACGATTCGCCGGACAAAGCTATTAAAGCCCTGTATTTGTTTTGTCATTTTCTGTCCGATTCTTGCTTTGATGGGTGACGGCAAGACTAAACATCACTGCAGTTTCAATTATTTTTAGTTTTGCTTAGTGGCAACAAGCAACTCATACTTCTTTGGTTATCCTGCTTGGGATAGGTACTGTGGGATGGGAAGATTTCAGAAGTCACTGAGTTACTCCAGGTAAGGGGTGCTGGAAAGCTGTGCTTTTCAAACCAGAGAGGCTGGTGGTTTAAACGCCACTTACTGGCATACATGGTAATCCTTACTGCCTGTGCTGCTGGTGTGGCTTCTCTTCTGGCTTTCCATGGTGCCGAAATACTTGCATTTGTAGCAGGCTGAAGGATAAATATTGGTATAAATGTTTTTCGTCTCCTGTTTTGCCATTTCTAGGGGTTACGTGCAGGCAGAGAAGTCCCTGCTATTTGCATCTTTGTTGTGAAGGGCTGATAGAACAGGAAAAATCAAAAGTATTTGCTATGTTGGAGCCTAAACCAACTCAAATAATTCCTGTCTCCTCTCTCAGCATCTACAGAAAGCGGTTTGGTTGCAAGTGTGCACGTTGCTTGGATATGTACCGTGTATGCCGACACCCTGAAAGCCTGGGATTGTATTAGGGGCTTCTAGAAACGGTGGCGAAGCACCTACCTGGAAGGGTTTGTGGCAGGGAGACAGCTCCAATGTACTTGTGAAACCGCGAGCGCAGGACTCGCGCTTTGCGATGCTCATGCAGTCGCTGGTTTCCTTGGAAACCGCTGCCTGAGCGCCGATAGCCAAACTTGAGCACCCGTGCCTGGCTTCAAAGTAGAAAATGGGCTCCCAGACTTGAGAACTGCGCCGCAGAGTTGGGATATTTGGACAGTACTTGGTGCTGCTTTGTTACGGGCAGTCTTGAAGCAGGGTATCACCGAAAAAAGGCCCCTCCTTGTACTGCAGCACTTCTCCTGCCTGCAGCGGAGTTTCTTTTTCCAAAGTTCCCCTTTTTGATTCGGTTTGTGAGCATATTTGTTGGAGGTGTTTCCTGCTAAACACACAAACTGAGTCAGGAAGGCTGCGGACCGGCTCTGCCACGTAGACTTGAAGTGAATTTGAAAACTGCGCAGCCAGGCCAGCTCCTTTTGTTCACGTATTTGATGTTCTGAGAGGTGGTGGGTGGTCTGAACAAACGGAAGTCAGTTGGGTGGGCTGAAAAGGAAACTGGAGTCTTGTAGGTATGCACGTACTGTGTGTTAGGTGTGATGTCCTCCGTTCAAGAGAGACGGGTACAGGCAGTCGTGTGTGTGCACGTATGTACTCATCTACACGTACGGGACTACTGCATTGACACAGGTATACTACGAGGTGGACTTCTATTAGGATAGAAAATGGCTAAGCCTTAATATTGGTGGTGTATATGGATTTTTTTTTTTCCAGTATCAGCTGGGCTCTGGGAATGTGAAATGCTGTTGGCTTTGGGGCTTAGCAGCCAGAGAGTATCACTGCGATTCGGGAGCAGGAGAGTAAATAACTGGTGACATGGATGTGATGAAAATCTAAAGCCATTGCTCCCTGCCCCCAGCGTAAGTGGATCCCTGGGATCTGTCAGGGCTTGTTACTGTTTAAACTGCCTATTTGATGTCAATTGTGTGCAAAGATCCACCGGGTGAGGGGAATTCATTAGTGCTCTTCTAGCCCACAGGCTAAATGAGGAAAATAACTTTCTTGGTGGGTAACATTTCTGATGAATAGAAGAAATCAATCGCGGCATGACTCAGGCAGCAGCACATCAAGGCAATAGCCAAGCACTCAGGGAAGGTGTAGATAAACCCAATGTGATGCAAATAAAGCCATTCAGCTATACCTTTCTGCTTGCTGGAAACAATAGGGATCTTGTAGCTACAGAGATGCTTTGAAAATGACGACTCTTAAAAACCTGAGAAAGTCCTGTAAGTAAAATGGAAGCGCAGGTATCGTCCCTTCTGAGTTGGGAATACTATGCGTGGAGTTAGGGCCCACGGCTTTGCCTGGGAGTTTCAGCATTGCTTAAATTGGTGAAAGTCTACAAGGGGTTACACGTGAGGTTTAAGCATAGCTAAACGTGGCCACGTAGAGGAGATGCACATCTTCTGGCAGCTACTGTTTTGTCATTTGATATATATCTATTTAACGCACGAAATAGGGAAATGGTTTTGACAGCTGATAAGCGGGACGGGGTCTTCAGGAGGGTTGTTCCACATAGCTGCCATCGAGACCACGGCTGCGGTAGCGGCGGCTCGCTAACGCTTGGCTGGATCCCGGCTCCGGCGGCCGCAGAGAGGTGTGGAGCAGACAGCAGCGAGGACGTGGGGAAGAGGCAGTACGGGGCAAACGAGGCACGAGGGTTTCTTTTCTTTTCCTGCTTTAAGAAGTGAGGGAGGAAAAACTGAGTGCTCGAGCGTTGTGAAAGAGGGGGCTGTGGAGGGGAAATTACACTTCCTTTCCAGTTTTCTGCAGTGACCTGCAGCCGGATCCGAATCTGCAGGGTGGGATTGTACAACGTGGGAGTATTTGGATTTGCATTGCTGCAGGCTGAATTCCTTGCATCTGTTCCCTTCATCTCCAATGCCAGGTTGCCCCCGGGGTCCCCCGCGTGTCTCCTCTGTCCCCTTTGTGGCACGTGCCCTGGCATTGTGTCCCCGGAGCCCTCTGCCTTCGGGCCACCGTCCTTTCTGCTCTCAAGGCAGGGCAGACTGCTCTCCCCAGGAAAAGCCTTGCCAGCCCCTTCCCCCTTCTCTTCTGAGCCCTCAGGTACTGCCCTGGGTCTCTTGTTCCTCCTCTTCCTTCTGCCCAACGTTCTTCTCTCTTCCTGTGGGTGTTTGCCCTTCTCTTCCCTCTCACCCCCAGCTCTTCCTACAGAGCTGTCCCATCTGATCAGGTCCAGACTTTACATCTCCCTGAAAAACCTGCCTTGTTTCCTCTATACATCAGGAGGCAGAGAGCTTCCAGTGGCTCTAGCACAAGGTACCGCGGGAGACTTGATTTTCCTGACAATCCAGCTTTTCTAATGTGCCAGTTTGTACAAAATCAGTTGACTTGTGACTGATCAGATGAGACGTCCCGCGGGCCTCCTGTTACGGGCAAACACCAGTTCTATCACGTCGGCTGCCTGCGCCTTGCTTGGCTTGGCCGAAAGATGGATAATACACATCCCCTGCCCGAAAGAACTGGTGCCAAGAAGGACGCAAAGCAAGAGAGCGCCTGGTGACGGGGCGTTCGGTGGTAACGGCTTGGAGTTGTATTGACAAAACGTCACGGCGTGTGCCGCACGGTGGCTGAATGTCATCTGCAGTGACTCGATAGGTCTTGGTGTGCTGCTTGAGGAGGTGCCGCTCCAGGTCCGGGAGGCTGCGTTTTAGCGTTTATCATTGCTTGTCCTCGCTACAGTCCTGCCGACGGACCAAACGACAGCAACGTCTCACTGGTGGGGGGCGTACAGCCAAGAGAGTGGGCTGGATCTCGGTTAGAAGCGTGGGTGTGTGCGTATACCTTCATGTGCAACTTGTGTCCGCGTGCTCGAATGGTGCTATTTATCTAAACTTGCTAGATATTTGAAGAACTGGTTGAACTGGAGTGTGTGTGTATGTATATAAATATATATGTGGGTTTTTTTTCCCTTACATATCTTTGCACGTATAAATCCTGTTAACACGGCAGTTGCACAAAGGGGAGAACACATCTCCTGCTCATCAGGTACTTGATTGCTTTCTGTTTTCCCAGTAGAAGCCTAGCTCTGCGAGGCACATGAGAGAGGCGAAGCATGGGGAGGCCATGGCTTTTCTCTATTAGCAGTATACCCAAACACAGATGTATGCCGATACCGTGATAACAAGTACGCTGGGAGAGCTTAAGTAAGGCAGATACTCCGGTTCTCCTTGGCCTTGCCTTGGTTCAGGGCACTGCTGAAAGGAAGGCACGGCCTCCGGCCCGCTGCTTGGCGTCAGACTGGTTGCTGTGGGGAGGTAATTGAAGCTTCGCGACGCTTCTGCTTGGAGAAGGGACACAGGTGGTGCAGCTCTGGTGCTGGGCTGCTTCTTAACTGACTCTGACAGGGCATCTCGGAGCCGCAGCTTGCCTTGGCAGGAAGAGCTCACGTGGCCTTTTTTTGGCAGCGGCGCAGTGATCCGTTGCGGGGTGGATATTGTATTGCGGCCCAGCAGTCTTTCATTAGGGGAGTCTCGAGGGAACGCTAACTATCTGTCTTATTTCCCTCCATTCATTTGCTAGATTTATTAATGTGCCTCCAGGAGGGCACGCGCCATCATGGAGTGTTTTCTGCCGGCATGGCAAGCCTGAACGCCGGAGCAGGCTAGCCAGGAACAGCGAACGCGGGTCCGTTACGTGTGCCACCGCTGGTTGTTAGGGATTAACTCACTGGGGAAAATGACATTTGGCTCTGTACGGCGGTGGCCTGGCCTCCGCTCCTGTCACGCAGAAAGCAGCTGCTCTACCTTCTGCTTTGCAACTGGTGTTATTTTCTCATCAGCCATCGTGGCAGGTACTTCAAGAGCATGTGTTGTCCATGACGAGGAACAAATTACCGCTTCCCTCTTAGATCTCCAACTTTTTTTTCCCTTCAGATGTCTGTTACTGTTATTTAGGTAGGCAAAGCAAGTCCAAAAGGGACACGATCAAGCAAATCTCACCTTTCTGATTTTGTGCTATTATTCTTGCACAGACACAACAGGTGGTTTGTTGGGTTTTTTTTATTTTTTTTTATTTGAAAGCCCCAAAGGGCTCAATTAGGAAACCACTAGCCTGCTATTTAGAGCATCACTTAGGATGTAATAACCCAGGCTGAGGCGTTATCCCAGTATTTGCAGGTACAAATAGAAAAGCTCCCATAGGGAGCGAGGCTGCCCCATCAGCACAGTGAGGACAGACGCGTGGGAGACCTGACTGAAACTGGGCAGAGCCAGGGCCGTGAGTCCAAGTCACTCAATTTTCCCCTCTGGAGCGCAGTGGCTCTTTTCTCTCTCCTCATTTTGACTGGAAATTCCATCCATGAGCTGTAGAGGACTCTTTCAGTTGCAGATTTAATCAAAACGAGCCTGTTTCCACTTGTTTTTTCAACCTTTTCCACCACAAAAGATTCTGGATGAGGTCTGTAACGGGCAAATGTTATAAATTAGAGCCACATGATTTGATTAAGCTCACTGGATTTAGTGGCCACAAAAAATTTTGGCTGCGGGGCCAGGACTGAAGGTGGCTTCTGTTTAAACACAACCGAGCACTCTTCCAGAGCGCTGTGGCAGAGCTGTTAAATCGATGCGAGTTCCTGAATAGTGCCTGAAGTTTAAAAAAATGATATATTGTGCTTGCATAGTTGGAAGCTCTCAGCTCCGTTCTGATTTCATTGGTCAGCAGTTGAAATTTTTTCACGTTGTTCATATTGAAGAAATGATATATCAAGGGGAGATAATATTCCACACTTTTTCCAGGCGTCTTAATGGAATTTTTATCAATTCAGTTGAAGAATATGATGCACAGAAAAGCTAACAGTGTCAGGTTGTTTGCTCTGTACCTCCTTCAGGGTAGCCTTGGCTCTCCATTTGACTTCCCAGTAGAAAATGGGAGATACGAGAGGGGCCATCACACCCCAAATCACAAGTGTCTGCAGCCTGACACCAAATCCCTCAGGTCACCAAGACACAGGCAAGGCAGAACCGAAGGCTGCCAGGTCCTGAGCTGGAGCCTGGACATCGCCCATTGGTGCTTCAGATCCATCGCTGGGAGGCGCGCAGTGCTACGCCTGCCTCGCTTACGCTGCTGTACGGGTTTTCCTCCCTTCCTTCCACCAGTGTCATCTGCTTGTTTTAAGCCTTTCTCATTTTCGGAAGACCTAGAAGTCTGGGATTTTTATCTGTTTGTGTTGGTGATCCTGAGATTGCTCAGGCACAGCCATTCAGTGCCTCGATACCATTTTCTCTGGATTGCTTTGTGGACTGAAGTGCACTTTCCTGCAGCCCGTACATGGAGAGTAAAAGACAGCCACCTCAGCAAATTAGCGTGAAAGCATTGGAGAAAAACTGTAGAATACTGTTTGGATTTTTTTTTTTTTTTGAGTAAAAAGCTATCCTTTTGTTGCCCATGGCCTATGCTTTTTAAAAAGTATCTCTTGTGCAGGGAGGGATTCTGAGAAGTTAAGTCAGTTGTCTATTTGTGCACCCATCTGAAGAGGTGAATCAGATGCGGCATTGACAGAGATCTGTCTGTACGATAGAATATCAGCAGGCAAGGTTTGATTTAAGTGATTATGGAAAAAAAACCTTAAAGGAGCATTCTGTGTAGCCCTAAGCCTCATGTATGATAATATTCATTGCGAAAAAAGTTTTCCTCCACATGCTACAGGTGTCCAGGTATGCAATCCTATTAAGAAAAAAAAAAAAAAAAAAGAAAAAGAAGGCAAAAGTACTCTGGAGGGTTATAACACTCTTTAACAAGAATGTCAAAATGCTGACACTTGTTTTTGTTTGCTATCCAAAAGGCTTTTCTTAGAAGCAGCCTCTGTTCTGAATGCAGTTGGTTGGAACTTGTCTTCCACCGGCATCTGGGTCTCGCTGAACGAAGTAACTGATGGGCCTGTGGAACAGCAGCCTCGCGATGTGTCCTCGCTGATCATCAGGCGTGGTTCACAGCCAGGCGTAGCTCCTTCATGGAAGGGTGAGGCTGAGAGCTCATCCTTACTGCTGGCGCTTCAGCTGAAAACTTAACTTTTATACCCAAGACTCGGGTGAGTGGTCATGGTCACTTAACAGCAGAGATTTGTTCTGGGGAACAAAAGCAAATTCCCCATCAGAGACTGTAATAAAATGGTGATGCTACAGCTGGTTCCTTACAGCCTCTAAATATAGACAAAATAGCATGTAGTAGAGAAAAAATGTTTGCTGAGTTAACTGGGCTATATTTAGGTGCCAAATAAACAGATTTCTGCTTTTGACCCTCCCCCTCACACCCTCAAAACCGCTTTTTATACTGTCGGCAAATGTCTTGGCTGCTCAGGGCTTCTGTTCTTTGCAAAAAGAGTAATTCTGAGTGGTAGGGGAAGGACATCTGCCGGAGCTGAACACAAAAAAAGGCAAGCTCTGAGGCACGCAGCCCCCGTGTCCAGACTCGCTCCCTCTCCTCGGCCCTTTGTTAGCGCTACATCCATAGGCTGCTCTAGTGACAGAGCAGGCAGGGCTTTGAAAAACCCAAACCCTAACCCTCCCGACCTCTTCTCCTGACCAAGGCCTTATTGATCTATACAGAAAGTATGAGCCAAAAAAGAAGCATCCTTGGGTGATGCATTTTACACCCTGTTTTTATCTTGCAGCTGCTGTGGGTACCGTCTCTATGGTTAGCCCTTCATTCATGTATGCGGACTTCCGTTTTTTTTTTTTTCATAAAGGAAGCAAATAGCATGGTCATCTTGCCAGAACAGATTAGGAGAGGGAGCCTGCAGATTTGCAACATTCCTCTTCTGCATCTGACGAGGAGGACTTCATCTGCCTGCAAAAAGTGCTTCTTGCCACCTCAAGGGTGGCCAGAGTGCAGTATGAAGTTAGTTTATTCCGTTATTTTTCCCTTTCAGACATACTTGTGCCATGCTGT